TGTATCCATCTCTTCTAAGTTTTCAAATTTGTTGGAGTACAACTCTTCATAGTATTCTGTTATTATCCTTTTGATTTCCTTTGGTTCCATTGTGACATCACCCATGTGATTTCTAATGCGTGTTATTTGTGTTTTCTCTCTCTTTTCTTTTGTTAGGTTTGCCAGTGGTCTGTTGATTTTATTAATTCTTTCAAAGAACCAGCTTCTTGTCTTGTTGATTCTTTCTATAGTTTTTCTGTTTTCTATCTCATTTATTTCTCATTTACAACATTGTGTTGTTGTATTTTTATTAAGTTGATGATTGTATGTTGGTGTATTTTAATGCACTCACTAACTGCCTCTTGGTGGGTATGAGTAGGGTATGAGTTTGTGCAGAGTTCTCCGTTCGTGCAGTTCAGTTTAGGATACATTTGGCTGATGTGGGTTGTTGTTGCTGATCTGGTGTATACCAGCTGGTATTGGCTCTTGTCCAGTGGATATGGCTGGGCTGTATGGGCATGGTTGCTGTCTCCTGTCAAGTAAGGCAAGAAAAGAAAATGTACACACAACAGAGAAGGAATACAAACAAGAAACTGCAGTGAAAAAAGGAAAATAGTAAAGAAAAAAAAAAGGCAGGTAACTGCTAGAAAAAAAAAATACCACATAAAAAGAGAGGAAAATAAAAAAAATAAAAGAAAAAGAAAAGAGAGAAAATAGAAAGAAAAAGAATGAAAAAGAACGAAACTCAGATAGGGAGAGGAGTGAGTGAAAGAAAAAGAGACCAGAGAGTAGGAAAGAAAAACAAAGAAAAAAAAAATGGAAAGAAACAGCAGTGGTTGGGAAAGATAAGCTGAAAAGCAGAAGAAAATAATGGAAGCTGAGATAGAAAGGATAGAAAATAAGGAAGAGGAAGAAGAGGAAGAAAGAATAAACAAGCAAAAACAACAAAAGGAAAAACAGTAGGAGCCAGACCCAGAGAGGAGAAAATGGGGTCTCCTGCTAACCAAGGACCTCATGAGGTTGGGTAAAGGTGAAATAGTAAGACTATCAACTCTAGATAGAGTTCCTGTAGGACTAAGTGTAATCTGTTATACTTAGTAATTTAGAACTATACCCCATCTGGAAGTAGTTCATGCAGATCCCAAAGCAGCTGGGGATCAGGACATTTCTGTCCCAGAGGGCAGCCGAGGATGAGAGGTCCTGCTAGTCCAAGCCTGGTCTGAACTATATCTGCAGGTCTGGTACGTGCTGTACCTGATTACAGGTGCCGGGGTTGGTACTGCTAGTTCCCCACACACTTAGATGCACCTCCAGTTGTCCAGAGAGCAGGAGCTTCACTGGGAGTGTATGCAGGTGGTGGCTGGCCACACCTCTGTAATATAGGGCATACGAAGAAATTTCACACCTTTCTCTCAACCAGTCAACTGTATGCCCCTGTGCCACCTACTGCCCTCTTGCCTTCAAAGTCACCTGCAAAGTTCAAGGTGGCCACAGTTCACCAAACTCCTTTCTTTCCCCTCACATGTCTGGTCAGCTGCTTCTCCTAGTGAGGGCTAGTCTAGGGCTGGTTAGGGCTGGCTCTGCCGTTCTGGAGCAGGGCCTACGTTAATGGGGTTAGTGTAGTAACCTCTTCCTTGGGCTCACAGCTGCTGCACTCATCTTGGTGCGGCTCTGACTGCTGGGAGAGTGGGAGTTTTTTTGGGGGTGTACGCAGGTGTGGTGGCTGACCTCACCTCTGGTCACCAGGGGAGTGTAGGGAACAAGAAAAAAAAAAATCACACTTTTATTTCTATGCAAGCTACCGGTATGCTTCTGTAAAACCAATATGATTGCTTGTCTCTGCAGCTGCTCATAAAAGCTCAAGATGGCTACGCTGTGTCTAGTCAGCTGGCACATTGGTCTTTCCTTTTTTAGCTGCGTCTGCTCAGCTTTTCTAGTAATCCACTTCTCTACCCTTCATCTGAAGCTCAGGGTTCCTGGGCTATCATCTGCATTTGTTTCATTTGGTTTTCCTTATCTTTGTTGTAGAGGGTCTGTACAGCCTTTCTGCCGCTTCCTCCATTATCTTGCCACCTCTCCCAGAAAATCAAGAGACGTTTAAAGCTGTGTGTTGGATATGGGATAGGACTTAGATATCTAGTTGGGGAGATGTTTACTGGTAATAGTGTTCAGAAAGTCCTTCTAGGTGTAGAGACTTGTGAATGAATGAGCTTGATTGCACTGCAGAGTTTCTACAGGACAAGGATTTCAAACTCAACACCTAATGAGGACCTGGCAGGTAACCTAAAACAAATATAGAGAGGAGTGAGCAAATATAGGAGTATTGGTGATAAATATTCCATTTTAAGGTATTGAGGGAGGTTCAAATCCATAAGCTGTTCCTTGGAAACCCTTGAGTCAGAACCAACTCAAAAGCACTTAACAGTAACAACATTATGATTACTTTAGCATGGTTACTACCTATGCGTTCGTGTAGGGATAGTACTTCTGTATACGGTTGTGAGAATTTAATGAGGTATATTTGTGAAAGTTCAGGTAGCGTCTGTCTACCACACAGTAGGTGCTCTTTAAATGGGAGCTATTGTTATAGCTCTTTTTATAGCACACATGTTTTCAAATGAGAGCTGAGGGGCTCCCTGGGGCCACCACAGCTGAAGGGGATTGAGTACTGGCGATCTGTTTCTGTAAAGTACTTGCTTTGACTACATTGGCTTTGGTTTCATCTACTTTATTAACTTCTATCTCACGGACAATTTATTTCAATAAAGAGTTCTTTGGGGAATCTCCCAAATACTTATTAGAATAAAAGGCTTTGGGGAGGGATAAAACTTTCAATAGTTCTAATCATAAAACCAAATGACTTCTCCCTTTGATTGCTTGTTTCTTCCAAAAAGTGTGTATAAGGGTGGTGCACCTGTGCTGGATACTGGGAGCTCCAAGATGAAGCAGCATAATGGTGGGGAGGGTCATGTAGACGACTGTTCCCCAGCCAGGGTGGATATTGTCACAGGTGTGTGTCCAGTGCTGCAGGCCATTTAGGAACCACAGCGAGCCCTGCCTGAGATCATCAGACACTGAGGACTAAGGGGAGGTTGAGCAAGGGCATGAATCCTGCAATCCTTTGTTAGGCACAGAGACTGGAGGCAGCAGCACAGAGGATATGTTGCGCAGGAAGACTTGGGGTATGAGGAACAGAGAGGCAGGAGAGGGATTGGAGCGCTGATGTAAAGGCCTTGTGAAGGAAGGGCTCTGTTTTGTGTTGTTAGGTGCCATGAGCTGGTTCCAACTCAGTGACCCTATGTACCATAGAATGAAACACTGCCTGGTTCTGTACCATCCTCACCACCGATCCTGTCTCTGAACCCATGGTGCAGCCACTATGTCAGTCCATCTCTTTAAAGGTCTTTTTCTTTTTCCTTGATCCTTTACTGTACCAAGCATGATGTCCTCCCAGGAACTGATGACATGTTTAAAGTACGTGAGACATTCTAAGGAGCATTCTGGCTGTGTCCCACTTAGATCAGTTCTCTCTCTCTCCCTGAATTTGTTTACTATTCTGGTGTCTGTGATATTTTTAGTATTCTTCACCAATACCATAATTCCAAAACATCAACTTTTCTTTGACCTTCTTTATTTATTGTAGGCTTCAAGAAACTAAAGGGAGACCACATGATCAGATTTGTATTTTGGGTCCTGGGTGGCACAGTTTACACTTGACTGCTAAACTAAAGATTGATGGTTCAAGCCCACCCAATAATACCATGGAAGAAAGAGCTGGCGCTTTGCTTCTATAATGTCTTCCTCCCATGGAGTAGCTGGTGGGTTTGAACCACTGATCTTCTGACTAACAGCTAAGCCCCTGGCTTCTTAACATCATGTTGTTATGTGCCAATTTATAGTGATCCTGTAATAGAGTTTCCAAGGCTGTTAATCTTAACAGGAGCAGAAAGCCTCATCTTTTTCCTATGGAGCAGCTGGTGGGCTAGAATTGTTGACCTGTGGCTAACAGTCTAATGTTTATCCCACAACACCACTGCACTCCATTAACCTAATGTAGGAGGGAAATAGTCTTTCTTTCTTAACAATCCCCCTCCCCAAATCCTCCAGTAAGCTGGAGTTTTACCTTTTTGCCATAGTGACCTCACTTACTATTTTAACTTACTTTACTTTCTAAATACTCTCAGCCTGTAGTCAGGATACCACATGTAGCATTTGATCATATCTGTCCATCTGGAGACTCTGGGTAGTGTAATAGTTAGTCTGATTGGCTGCTAACCAAAAGGTTGGCAGTTTGAACCTAGAGAGGTACCCTGAAAGAAAGTCCTGGCAATCTGCCTCTAAAAAAATTCAGCCACTGACAATCTTATGGAGCACACATGGGTTCGTTGCCATGAGTCAGGGTTGAATTGTCTGTAACTGACATAGTGGTCTGTCTTGTAATTGCTTCTGGTAAACCAACCTTATCTCTGATTTGATTGGAATCATCTCAAAGACAGACTTGTATCACATACTTATTTTGGTGTTATCATCACAGAGTCTAGTCCAGAGAGGAGCACACAGTAGGCACTTTACGCTCCTATATGATAATGTTCCTCATTTTCCTTTCAGGCGTGAGAAGAGTAACAGAACTTCAGAGAAGAACATTTTTGAGACAACACGATAATTGGGGAGATCCTCAGTTCACAATGGAAGTCCCCCCAGGAACCAAGTTTGGTGAGACCTTTGCATTTGAGGACAGGTTAGAGATTCAGCAAGAACTTTTCTCAGGAGAGGACCTGGGGAATTCTTTTCTTCAGGACCAAGGTCTGGGGCACATGACTGTTATCTATAAGGAGATCCCTCTTAGGGATCAGGGGGAGGAATGTGATGCTTATGGGGGCAATTTCAGTCTATGTTCTAGCCCTGTGCAGCATCAGAATGCCCCTCCAGCTACCAGACCCCAGGATGATGAGCTTTTTGGCCAGACTTTCTTCCAGAAGCCAGACCTCAGTGTGTGTCAGATAGTGCACAGTGGAGAAGACTCTGGGAAGTGTGATAGCAAGAAAGCAGGCTGGGGGAAGGCTATGCTTAACAACCCTCACAGAACAGCACTGCCAGCCAAGCCGTATGCATGTCGGGAGTGTGGGAAGGCCTTCAGCCAGAGCTCACACCTGCTGAGACACCTGGTGATCCACACAGGGGAGAAACCCTATGAATGCTCTGAGTGTGGCAAGGCCTTCAGCCAGAGCTCACACTTACTGAGACACCAGGTCATTCACACTGGGGAGAAGCCCTACGGGTGCCAGGAGTGTGGGAAAGCCTTCCGTCAGAGCTCAGCCCTCACACAGCATCAGAAGACCCACACTGGCAAAAGGCCCTATGAGTGTAGGGTGTGTGGGAAGGATTTTAGCCGGAGTGCGAGCCTCCGGAAGCATGAGCGCATTCATACTGGAGAGAAGCCATACCAGTGCAAGGAGTGTGGAAAAGCCTTCAACCAGAGTTCAGGCCTGAGTCAGCACCGGAAAATCCATACCTTGAAGAAGCCCCATGAGTGTGAACTTTGTGGAAAAGCCTTCTGTCACAGGTCCCACCTCATTCGGCACCAGAGGATCCATACTGGGAAGAAACCTTACAAGTGTGAAGAGTGTGGGAAAGCCTTCAGCCAGAGTTCCAACCTGATTGAGCACCGCAAGACCCACACAGGCGAGAAGCCCTACAAGTGCCACAAGTGCGGGAAAGCCTTCAGTCAGAGCTCCTCACTCATTGAGCACCAGAGGATCCACACAGGGGAGAAGCCCTATGAGTGTGGCCAGTGCGGCAAGGCTTTCTGCCACAGCTCAGCCCTTATCCAGCATCAGAGGATCCACACAGGGAAGAAGCCCTATGCCTGCAATGAGTGTGGGAAAGCCTTCCGGCATCGGTCGGCCCTCATTGAGCACTATAAGACCCACACCAGGGAGAAACCTTACGAGTGCAATACATGTGGCAAGTCCTTCCGGGGCAGCTCACATCTCATCCGACACCAGAAAATCCATGCTGGAGAGAAGCTGTAGCAAGAAGAGCTCATAGCAAAGCTTGCTGGCCTTTAGTGGACAGAGCCACTGTATTTGTATTGCTTTATTTGTAAGACTCCCACCTGCCTTCCTGACAGCAGTGCTGAATGAAGCCCTTTAGTCTCAGCACCCTTGAACATCCCAGTAGCAGGAGCGCCCTTGTGGCACCTTGGCAGATTACTGAGTGGAAGAGAGGGTGGGGCGCTTGAATGGGGTGATGGAAATGGAGACCCTCTGAGAGAAAGAGCTGCTGTCTAGTTCTCGTTCTTCTCCTGTGTGACTTGAGAGCATATGAGATAGTTTCCCCTCTCTATTTTCTTTTTCCAGAATCCAGAAGGAGAAGAATACACATCTAAAGGAGAAAGTTGAATTAAACCCATGGAAATGTCAGATTAATTATTTAACATTAAGCCTCAGTGCTCACAGCCTAAGTTGGCCAAAGAAAAATTCAAAGGCATATTCCTCAGTGGGCAAAATGGAATCCTCTGCTTGGCTCAAGCATTTTTAGAACAATCACAGCAGGCTACTAGAGAAGAGGAGGGTTTGGATGGATTGGTTTTGGGCTTGGGGGTGAGAGTGGTGGGCACTTTTTCTTGTCTTAAAGAGTGGCTTCTATGTGGCTCTACCACAGGGGTGGCAGGCTGCTGATTCTAACTCAGCCTCTGGAATAAGCCCCTACAAGATCCTATGAGCAGGAACCCCTCCTGGTCTGTAGTTGCACAGCCTCCTCATCTCCCAGTGTTGGGGGATATGTGGAGCAGGGTGGAGGAAGCTGTGGTTCTGGAGTCACAAGATCTAGGTTCAAATCCCAATTCTGCTCTATCTTCCTTGTGTGACTTTGGCCAAGTCTGACCTGGAGTCCTCTGGGGCCTGGTGTGCACCTTCAAGGGTGGGTGTGAGGCTCTCACACGTGGGAGTGCTTTGGAATTTAAGTGGTCCCAGATGGCAGCTGAGACTCTTAAGTGGTCTCTAGAGGTGCTGCCTTCAGACTGGTGGGACATCCCTGTCCTGTTCCCCAAAATGACAAGGATTTGCAGCAGTCCCTTCATTAAGTTAGGCCTTTCCTCACCCTCTTAGGTCTGTGCCCAGGTCAGTAAAGGGTCACAGTCTGTTTCCCCTGTGGTCCCTCCTACACACAGATGCGTTCTCCCAGTGTAGTTACCATTGACACCTCCTGCCAATGCTGCCCACATGGATGTGTCCTACTGACACTGTTTCTGTACTTCCCTATCCTCTTCTTAGCTCAGCTTACTAGCATGCACCTGGTTGTTTTTTTTAAGTGACATTACTGTGTCCCACCTAGATTAATTCTGTCTACCTCCCTGGAGCTGCGCCCAGATTTGCCATCTTCTGAAAGCTTTCCAGAAGTATAACAGCTAAACTGTTGCAGCTCCCTCAGGGGCGGGCTCAGACTTTGTGACCCATTGGCAACATCAGTTCTACTGGGCTCCAGGGAGTTCGCACAAGGAGGGAGCAGTCTGCAAGCTGTTGTCAAGTTTTCAAAAAATACATGGCTGGAATTGCATGAACCCATGGGATGATAATGTTGGTTGTCACAGTTTATGAGAAGCTCAGTTTGACAGCACTGTATAGTTTTGATGAATAAACATGGAAAAACCATAATGGTTACTTAATAAAGAGAAGGAGTTTGTTAGGCCAGGGCTTCCTAAGTGTTTGGTCTGGTGACAGGAGTGGAGTGGGGATTGGAATTCTAATAGGAATCCTGGTGCTAAATTGTTACCTAAATGCAAGCTGCTCCTCTGTTCAGCTCCTCTGTCCTGTGTAGTCTGCAAGATACTTAGCACTTCTGGTACCTGGGGTATTGTTTGGGGCAACCTGCCCCAGTAGCCTTCAGGAATTTACCAGGAGTGAAGGAAGAATGGAGTCCCTGGGAGGTGGAATGGTTAATGTGCTTGGCAGTCAACTGAAAGATTGGTGGTGGGTGTAAAGCCCCCCAGAGGCACCTCAAAAGAAAGACCGTTTCAACAATTGCCATTAAAAACCCTGAGGAACACAAGTCTACTCTGGCACACATGGGGGCACCATGTATTGAGGTTGATGGTAACCAGAAAAAAGAATGCTGAGATTCCTTCCCAGCAAGGGTCCCAGATGATCTACTTACTTGTCACCCTCCCACCATACCCCTCCCTATCTGTCTTAGCCAGTTTCCTGACCCTTCCTGTGCACTCCAACCAGATTGATTTCTTAAAGCATCAGCTTTGCACATTCTACCATTCTTAGACCTAACCTTCAGGGGTGGCTGCTCAGCACACACCCTCAGTTCATCCAGTCAGGTCGACCTCCTTGGGGATGTGCTAGAGTTCACACTACTCTCAGCTAGAAACCACTACATCTCCAGTCCAACAGCTCTCGCTGTGTTTGAATTTTGGCAATATGCACTTCTTTCTTCTCCCTCTCTCCTGTTTTCTTTTCTTTTTTTTTTTTGGACAATTTAGGAAACCTGGGATTAAATCCCTGTTTTGAAGAGTTAGGAGCCCTAGTAGTGCAATGGTTAAAAGCTTTCAACTGTTAACCATAAGTTCAGCAATTCAAACCCACCAGCTGCTCCATGGGAGAAAGATGAAGCAGGCTGCTTCTGTAAAGATTGACAGCCTCAAAAACCATACAAGGGCAGTTCTATTCTGCCTTTTAGGGTTGCTATGAGATGGCAGTGAGGAACGGATTCTGAAGGATTAACAGACTCATGAGAATATGGTGTCTTAGTCTGGGTTCTCTAGAGAAACAAAACCTGTGAAGTTTATATGTGTGTATATATATATACATATATATACATATATATATATATATAGACTGGCTCTGTAGGATAAGCACTGGACTGTGAGCCACAGGTTGGTGGTTTGAGCCTACCAGCTGCTTCATGGGAAAAGGATGAGGCTTTTTGCACCCACAAGGATTTATAACCTTGGGAATCCTGTACAGGGTAGTTATGAGTCAGACTAGACTCAACAGTACTTAAAAATAATACACACACACATATATTTATATCAAGGAAATGATTTACAGTTGTAGAGGTGGTCAATTCTCAAGCCCATGGCTAGAGGCTTCTGACTAGCTATAGGACTGATGAACCAAGATTGACAGGTCAGACTGCTGGTACATAGGCAGGTCTGGCAGGTATGAAGGCAGGCTGCTGACAACTCCAGGGTTGGTAAGTAAGAGAGCAGGCCGCTTACTCAAGTCCAAGAATCAGAGGTTGGAGGACATGCCAGATGCAAGATCCAGACCCAACAGCGAGCAAGCAATCTTTGCCTGAGTGTCCAATTTATTGGAAGCAGGCCACATCCCTGAGGAAACTTCCTTTCAATTGACTGGTTTCTCATAGCCAGCCTTATTGTGCTGGTGGTGGTGTGCCATGGAGTCGGTTCCAACTAATAGCAAACCTGCATAGGGTTTTCCAAGGCCGTAAATCTTTATGGGAGCAGAAAGCTCAACTTTATCTTGCGGAACTCCAGCCAGTAGTTTCAAACTGCTGACCTTGAGGTTAGCATCCCGACTTGTAACCACTATGCTACCAGAGCTCATAGAGTTGATTATATTGTATATCTCAACTGCCAAACCACTGAGAATCCTGGCCCAGTCAAGTTGACAAAACCTTAGCTATCACATATGAGAAGACCAAATGCATCTCTTGTTGGAAGTGTGAGTGGAGCCGCATTCCTTCTGAGCAGTCAATCCAACTTCTTTCAGTGGTTAATGATGTTTTTTTGGGTAATTTTAAAATTAAGATTCTTAATATAAAATAAGAGATTGTCCTTAGTATTACTCTTCCTTAAATGTAGTTTTTATTTTTGTTTTATATCTTTTTTCCTTTCTATGATGGGTTTACTTAAATGTTGTGTAGTGTTTTAAAATTCAAACTCGAGTTGTTCACTGGTCTAATTGTTTTGTCAAATTATATGTTGTTGTTAAGTGCTTTCAAGTTGGTTCTGACTCATAACGACCCTCTAGGGTTTCCAAGGAATGGATGAAGAGTTTGAACTGCTGACCATGCGGTTAGCAGTCCAGTGATTATTCTACAGTGCTACACCAGGACTCCAGATTATACGTAGTCAGATCTTTTTTGTTGTTGTTGCTAAATACTTTGTAATTCTCAGATTTAGATATAATTAATAGTATTTTTGTTTCTATTAAATGTGGGTACTTACATCTATACTTTGATAGCTTTGTCATCACTCTTAAGTTTTCACATGTGGTACTGTTTATTATTAGAAATTTCCTTTTTACCCAAATTTATTGCTACTTAAAAATAATATTTCCAGATGACAAATGCTTATGGTATTGCTGCTTCTTTCTTTTTATTGGCTCAGGTAATTGTGGGGTTTGCAAGCCTAAAACCCATAGGGCAGGCTGAGACCTCTGCTGGCTTTTGTTCAGGGATAGAATACCCTAGATCAGTAAATGAACATAGGTAAGCCTGTGCTTACCATGCTTACTAGGTACTCAGTCTCTGACCCAGGTCAAACCTATTGCCGCTGAGATGATTTTGACTCATAGCAACCTTATAGGACAGGTTAGAACTGCTCCATAGGGTTTCTAGGGCTCTCTGTTTATTTCTTTATGTTTATGTCTTACTGTACTGTCATCATCAAGTGCCGTCGAGTTGATTCGGACCCACAGCAACCCTGTATAGGGCTTCTGAGGAGCAGCTGGTGAGCTTGAACCACCAATCTTGCAGTTCAAATGGCTTTGCAGTCTTACGTATTAACCCACAGCGCCACACCAGGCCTCCTACTGTACTGTCGTGTATAACATTTCTGAGTGTCCATAGAACTTCTCTGGACCTGGATACGTTATCAGATTTCACAGTGCACTTATGTACTCAAGAAATGAGTGTTTATATCATTAGTTCCACTTGTCAAATCAGTTTCTTGGTCATTTTATTCAAACCCTTGCTCTTTTATTTATTTTATAGTTCTTAGTTTTGGGTCCATGGACTGCTTAGAAGTCCATAGAATGCAGGGACTTTAGGGGTTGGTGGA